CCCTCTGAGGAATCCTTCAGAGGAGTCTGGCCTCCATAATTTCTTTGTGCAAGCAGAAAAATACATTGTTCTGGGAAGACTTCTTGGTAAGAGGCTATTAACTTGGAGGAAAAGGAAGAGAGGATGGTAGTTTCTTCTGGGAGGCCCAAGTCAGGGGCACAGAACTCTAGCAACCATCTCTTGCAGATTCCAGATTTGGAGTGAATGCCCAAAATCACTGGTATCTATTTTCCTTTAGGTTTTCCTTTCTCCAGGTTCTCTTCTACTTTAAAGCTGGTCAAGACTCCAGCTTGGTCCATGTGATGTCCAGGGCTAGACCTAAAGTTATTAAATTTCACAGGCAACTCCACGTGCATATTCACAAACCTAAAAACCAAGGTCTCACTACTTATTCCCCATCCCAGCCCTTAAACGTTCATTTCTGGACCTAAATTTTTTTTAGGATTATCAAGGCTCTCTCTCAGTCAAACTCAAAGGCTGCTTCTAATTTTTTGGAACTTTGCTGTATTTGTCTTCAATAATCCTATTTTTGGATTAATTTTTTCTGCCTAGATTTCTACAGTGACTCCTTCACTTTCTCATTCTCCTACTAGATTACCCTAGACATCCTATTACATTTCTTCACCTAAATAAGCCTACTTATTTGCAGTTCACCGTGGAAATGGTTGTCTTGAGTATAGAGTTCTTGTGGGGAGAGGTAATGGGAATCAAACTCAGGACCTCAAGCTTGCAAGGCAGACACTGTGCAGCTGAGCCATATCCCCAGCCCTCCCGTCCCAAGTATACGGTTAAGACAGTTATATCTCTATTCCTACAATACAGCCGTTTCTGTTTGATGAATTTATTCCATTCTAGACTTTCACCATTTTTGCCTTTCATTAACTGCAACTGATGCCTGATTTTATGCAGAATTCATTTACGAATTCATTACAGCATAATGTTCCAAAAGGTAGAATGTAAAAGACTGGTGATATAATAGGTGATTTTAAGTGCTATATAAAGGAGCATTTAAAATTCTATGTGTATTTTAAAACATTTGGAAGGGGAAGCTAATACCAAATCATCATGAATTTTTATTTTACATTCACTTTATAGAAAGAACTAATCCCCCCCCCCCAATATTCTTAGCTCAAGGCCTGCTACAGTTAAAGTGTTCAACAAATTTTGAAACTTACCAATTCTCTTTTGGTCCTTGCTCACACATGACAGGCAAGCTACCATTAGACCATATCCTTAGTTCAAAAAAGTTACAGTAATTCTGTATCTTTTTTAGTCCTCATGCCTTTACTTGTAACCAACTAGACACTCCATTGGTATAATAGGTATTTTTTCTGTGTATGGATTTTCTGCATTAAATTTTCCTTACCTTTCTATACATCTTTTACCTCAAAGGTGAAAACATCTTTGTTTTCAGCTTCTAGCTGAAGACCACATACACACACATATTTTTTTCAGTGGTACTTAGAATCGAATCCAGGCCCTTATGTATGCTACGCAAAGAGTATCACTGAGCCATACCCCAACCCCAAGATAATACTAATCCTTAAAACTGTGACCCTTTTGGCAGTGTTAAGTCAAAACCATATTTCCCCAAATTCTCTGGGTCTTACAAAACTAAGAGTGTTTAATGTTTGTTTGTTGAGTACAACTAAAAATTAAGGAAAAAGACAATGCAGATAAATCTCACAGTGTATATTATGTAAACATAAGTTCTTTGAAGGTTATCTATGTTACAATTCTAATGCCTAAATAAAGAGTTAGAGACTGAAAAGTGCTTCTTTGCTCTACCATACTTGTCAGTTAACCTTAGTTATATTATGCACCTGCTCTTTTGTGCTTCTAACCTTCTATCATGTCTTCACTCAATACATGTCTCTGTACTTGCCAAGTGCATACAAGGTGATGAGGACATGAAGACAGTCTAGTAAAGAAAAAGACTAGTAAGGAAACAGCAGTAAACAGAAAAATTAGTATACAACATACAACACATAATAGTCAAGAGTGTTTATCTATCAGAAATGTGCTTGACTAATGCTAACTACACTCCAATCTTCTTTTATGCTTAGTAACTGGCAATACCACCAAGGGGTGAGTACAACACCAGGCAAAAAATATTTTCAAATTCTTAGGACAATATATACCAATCATGTCTGCAAAACAAGTTTTCTGTTGAAACTCAGTTAATACCTCTCATTTGACTCAAATCTGTCAAAGATCTTGGCTGAAAATGACATGACTAAGATTTTGCTAATGTAGATCAAAATAAGGGCTAGGAACATAACAGGCAAAAAGATACTTTAAACTTAGCTTTTGTAAGGGGGAAAGCACAAAATTTAATGAAGTTACCCTTCACATAACACTTTGACCCACAAAGATGTTCTGACTGATGTACCTATGGTATTATTGGGGAAGGTAGAATGTAGTGACTCAGAAAACTAACATTAACTTTCAGACATCTAGGCAACAATTTAACATAGATTGATAATTTTCATTGTATTACTCTAATCAGAATGTGACAACTCATTATAGAAATGAAATAATTGTCATAATCTAGACACAACTTTGGATCTCCTTGAAGAATTCGGCTTTATACAAACTCATTTTACAAATTTTACCAGTGATCAATTATTGACTGTGTAGTATGACAAAAATAGCATAAGTCATCTGGCGTACAAACTAAAGCAGTGCTATGGGTACACTGAGGGACATAATATAAGCTTCAAAGATATATCAGAAAGGTAAGGGTACAGAGAATTATGCTGGAGTGAAGCAGAAATTTTGCTTTTTCATTTTCAACAAGATACTGTTTCAGTGACACTATACAGCATAAAGAAATCTTTTTTTACAAGTAAAATCCAGTAGGTAAAAAGCGAGGTAAAGGGGAAAAAGGAAAAATTTAAGTACCCTCCCAAAGATGCATGCCATTCTGAATAAATAGATTGCATACTGTTTTCAGAATATTTTTTTTCCCACCAATACAGTATTCTACTTCCCTGCCCTCCGTTGTTAGTTGGCTTTTTAAACGTACTAGGCACACTAATAAGTCCTTTACATATAATATCTTAAAGTTCCGTATATAATAAGCCTTAAAGAGAAAATATAACTATCATCGTTTTAAAGATGAGGGATTAGTGTATTAATGGCATCTTAAATTTAAAAGTTATATCTGTGGTTAATATACAGCTAAAGTTATTTCAAGGATTCACTGTAAACAGTAAAGGACACAAAAAGTTAGCTTCTATCCTATCCACAAAGTAGATGTAATCTATTTTTATACTTGAAACACTGTAACCTTCACATGCAACAATGTTCACATAGTAAAGTCAAGGTAAGGAAAAACTATCAACAGTGCTGTATTTTACTCAGATACCACGGATTACAGTTACAAGGAAGCAGTATGATGATTTAGAGCATCCTCTTTGAGAGTTTTTAAAACAGTATGTGTCTGAATCCGTATTCAGTACTGTATCACAGGTTACTGCTGAGTGACCTTGGTCAACTTAATCTCTCAGATTACATTTCCTCAGCTGTAGAACGAGGATTCAGAATTACCTCCCTAAAAGACTGGTAGGAATTTTTTAAAAAGATAACGTATATAAAGTACTTATCGCTGACGGCAGAACATAGGTTAACTAGTGGTGGAGACAGAACACAAGCTTATGCTCCCCCACCCCCAAACTTAAAATGCCCAACTAGGAAAATTCCATTTTAAGAGCATTACTATTCGACTATGTACTAAACAAAACTAAAATATCTATTCCTAACTTGGGGGAGGTAGCAATGCATCTGAGGTGAGGCCCCAAGATGCTGCTGCAGTACATCTGCGATACACACCTAAAAATGGCTCCAGTGAAAGGAGCATCATAATTACCAATATGGGAGGTTAAATCTATTTTTAAATGCTGGCGTTAAACCTGGTGGGCACTCAAACCACGCTAATATTTTTGTTTGTAGGCCTAACCTAACGAGCACTTAAGAATTTTCCGATTCTTCTGGTGCATTCTAAATGAAAATTTTACAGCAGAGCCACCTACTGTACGGTTCCAAGTACCCTGTCTGCCGAGGTATAAATCTATGAATCTAAGCTGAAGATTGGCCAATGCGGAAATCCGGGTAGCTCTAGAAGCCGGCGATCGTTAGATATGTCGATCACTCAAAAGATCTTAAGGTCAAGTCAAAACAAAGATACATTCCTTGAAAGTAATTACAGGAGCTCCTGGGCAAAGTTAACGAACCTTGATTATCGTGGTCCTTTCTGTTCCCCATTCCCTTTTCTTCCATGCTAAAGTGGGACCCTCACCCTAACACCGATGATGCTAAAGCTAGCTCAAAAACAGGGAGCAGCTGAGTGAGATTCAACACGCAGACGAGGCGATGCAGCCAGGGACCCAGAGAGAGAAAGGACTACCTAAACACTCCAATGGAATCGGGCAGCACGTTCCTAGCGCTAGTATGGTTGGTCCAGATTCCCCGAAGAGCCTCAGAGAATTAGGTCTTTAACCCAGACTCTCAGTTTATTGCTCACGGCGAATCCTACCACACTACACACGTAGACATAAACATTAAGGCCGGGCTGAGCCCTAGGGTCGTTTGAGGGACGCAACCTTCACACAGAGGGGCGCAGGGGAAGGGGGCGCCCGCAGTCCGGCGGGACGAAAGTCCCCACGCTAGCCCGGTTCCGCGCATGATGCGGCCACAGGGCCGCGCCGGGGTTGGGTGGGGGGGAGACCTGAGGGCCACAACTCTCGCCGCAGACCACATGGGGCGGGTCCGGCTCCGATTTCCCGCTCCCGGAGTGCAGGCCGATTTCCCCAGAATCAGTGAAGACGGGAACCAACCACAAAGGTGACGCTTAGGCCCGCCGGCCTCCCGGTGCGGCTCGCACACTCCCGAGCCCGGGGCTGGATGCGCTCCGGGCCCCGGGCCCCGGGCCCCGCACACCGGCCCTTCGCGATGGGGCCCTTTTTGATCGCGGTCCCGACGCCCTCGCTTATCCTTACCCGCCAGGGTGTCCAGCTTGCGTACTTCGAGAGTTCCACTGAGATCTGATGAGGGGAAGGGGAAGTAGAGATTAGAGGATGGCTAGAAAAGCCACCGGAATGGGAAAGCCGAAGCAGCGGATGGACAAACCGCCAAAGCACTTTCTCTGCTTTTCGAAAGGGTGAGAGCAAGCGAGAAAAAGAAGCAAGATGGCGACTAGCCAGCCCCTACGTACTACGTCATGACGCCACGCACGTAAAGCAAATCTCTGCAGGACCGCCTTCCGGCGCAGAGGCGGCCGGGTCACGTGAAGCCTCGGCGGCGCAACCCTGGCAGAAAGCCGAACAGTGCCTCCTACTGGAAGGAAGAGGTTTCTGCAACAAAAGTTACCGCTGTAGGGTGAAACTTTAATTTCGGACGTTTTGGGAACGTTTGAACAGACACTGTTACTGGTATGCCACCATAAAGTGAAATGCTGAGTGGGTATGTAAACTCGTTCAAACAGCAGTTCGGCAGAATGTTCTCAGTGAAATAAGGGCCAAGCAGAGAAAGGTGTGGTGTATCGGGAGACTGAGAAAATTCGAATTATCCCAGAGAGAGAAAAAGTAACCCTAAGTGGGGACCGAGTAGGACTGTTTGTTCTGCAGGCAGCACCGTATTTATGGATGTAGAATATCCAGATATATCATACAAACAAACCACTTCGTTTGTTTGTATGATATATCTGGGACTGGTCAGCTCTTTGGTACTGCTAGTTATACAGTTAAGATTCACTCATGCTGGGTTTTACCAGGAAGTGTAATGCAGGTGAGGCAATCTGGAATTAAGTGGCTATAATGGTGGCAACTGGGAGCTGGTAGAGAGCTTGTTTACCCTGTGCAAGGCCTTCGGTTCAATTAAAAAAAAAAATACCCGAATATGTGGTAGATGTGTAGTATTTATCTACCTCTGGAACTATATGGGATATTTTAAATCTGGGGGTGCCATCTAGCATGTCTGAGTGATCTCCTCACCAGTAGTTTGTATATGTTCATAGGGTTGTTATTTCAACAACGTTACAATAAGAGAAATAGGAAAAAGGAAGGGGGGGGGACAAAAAAAAAAGGGAAACAAAGCTTTGTAAGTAAAATGGTAAAGAGGAGTTGAAGAGAAAGAGGATGGGAATGAGAGAAAAAAAGAGGAACTAAGATGCATCATGTACAGATACACGTTCCCTGTGATGAATATCTGTATTGTAACGATAAACTTAATTTTTAAAGAGAATAAGAGAAATAATGAGAAATAAACCACACAGGCACCACCTTCCAGAGTGCTATTGGTGATCATTTGTTTCGGGTTTTTTGGTTGGGGAGTGTGTGTGTGCGCGCGTGTGTGTGTGTGTGTGTGTGTGTGTGTGTGTGTGTGGTGTATGTGAGTGGTGGTGGTGGTGGTGGTGGTGGTGTGTGTGTGTGTGTGTGTGTGTGGTGTATGTGAGTGGTGGTGGTGGTGGTGGTGGTGGTGGTGGTGGTGGTGTGTGTGTGTGTGTGTGTGTGTGGTGTATGTGAGTGGTGGTGGTGGTGGTGGTGGTGGTGGTGGTGTGTGTGTGTGTGTGTGTGTGTGTGTGGTGTATGTGAGTGGTGGTGGTGGTGGTGGTGGTGGTGTGTGTGTGTGTGTGTGTGTGTGTGTGTGTGGTGTATGTGAGTGGTGGTGGTGGTGGTGGTGGTGGTGTGTGTGTGTGTGTGTGTGTGTGTGTTTTCTTCCCATGCTGGACAGCAAATCCAGGGCCTCGCACATTCTAAGCAAGTGTTCTGCCACTGAACTCTACTATATCCCGGTCTCCTCAGTGATCCTTTGAAATGGAAAAGCTTAACTGATTGGTGTATAATCATTGCCAGGAAATACTTGATGACTGTTCCCGACCGGCCAGAGAACCAGGCCTTCCGTAAGTTTTCCACAACCTTTTAGGATCTAGTCTAGTATATGCTGGTTTTGAAATATCTTTTAAATACAGCATGGAACATCTCTAGCAATTACATGAGCTTGTGTTCGCCCAGCTCTTCAAACTAACATATAATAACAGAATTACTAATTTATTAATTTCTAAGAACTATAATATGTACACCTCAGTACGTGTAACTGCAAAGTTAGTGCATTTTCTGTGTAGCCACACTCTACTGAGAAAACCAAAGGCAGTATCAGTAGGTGCCTGATAAACATAGATCTTGAACAAGTAGAATTATACACATGGACTTGTTTTGTTCTTTTATTTTACAACAGGATGATTTTGTCCTGAGGTAGAGATGGGTACTCATTCTCCAGGGGTTGCAGTGTTCTGCACTGATATTCAGTACAATCAGGGCATCCTGCTGCTCTTGATTTAGGCTCCTCCTCTCCTTGACAGTGCTTGGATGGCCACCAGCCCTGAAGTATCCCTGTGTGTTCTGTCTCTGTTTCCATGGTTACCGCTTAGCAATGTTCTTTCAATAAAAATCAAGGTGCAGTTAAGTCAGGCCTTCCAATTTGCGTTTCAGATCTGACTTCCCTTATTTCTACATTTATCTGCTGTGTGTAACCTTAAAGTTTAACTCTGAGAGAACAGGCTATTTTTACCTTATTTTCAATTTTTAGAGGAACATCTGACTGAAATTTCCTTGTGTTGATTCAGTGTCCAAAAGCAAATAATACTTCTTAAAATTTTACTTTATCTTATGTTAGCATCTCAATTTAGGTAGGTTTGTCATTTAAAAAATGTTTTTATGATAGAGTAAATGAAAGATCATAATTTAATTTTTTTCCCATAATTTCTAAAAGGATTTTTCTTAATAATTTTAGGGTAAAGTTATCAAATTGTCAGTTGAGGGAATAAAATAAGGAAAACTAATTTCTTGCTGAAAAAAGTTAATTCTGTAAATAATATGGCCTTGTTTGCTAAAGGTTTTATTTTCTACTTTCCCACTGAGATTGATTCCATAAGACTGCATGCATTGAAGATTTATGGAATAGTATGTTAACAATAAAAGAATTAGTGAATGTGTAATACTGTTTCTTAAATGTTCATATACACATGACAAGTTTGATTTATTTTTATCAATGATCTATCAAATCATATTCGTTAAAACTGTGAAACATTTGCAAATAAAGATAAAAAAAGTCAGTGCTTCAAGAAATTATTTCTTCCCAATTTATAAGAAACTATATTAAATATATTACAATATATTTATATATAAAATTTTACATTATATGTAAAATGAATATTTTTACTTACCAATCTACTGTTAAGTGAATCAACAAACTTTATAATTGAAAAAGGGTACATGTTGACTAGAAGTGTTATGTACTTGTTATAAGTTAATAAAGTCCAAATTAACCGGGATCTACTCTCCACCCAAAATTGTTCCAGAATGTTCTTGACTGAGAGAATGAAGCTCTTGGCGCTGTGGGATCCTAAGTCAAGATAATATAAGTATTGTTAGTGAGCTGAGAACATTAGCAGTGATATTTAGTCACTCCAGGGCCTAGAGGAAGATTGCAAGAGATGTGGCGGGGTGGGCAGGGGGCAGCAAATGCAGGACAGCAAAAGGTTGCACAGGACAGTAGCCAGGTGGCAAATGGAGATGCAGAAAAGGTGATTTCTTAATCTTTTTAGGCCAGGAAATAGAAACGTGAGGTAATACCGATTGATATAACTGCAGTAATTAATAATTTTGAAATTGTCACTCTCCCTGCTGCTTTTAGTGTTTCTCAGTATAGAACACCTTTTATGTGATGCTCAACCAAATGTGCATGCCATGTTTAAATGAAACTGTCTGGTTTCAAATCCTTTATTGCTCCATAGTAATTAAGAGAAGGAAGGCTGGTACGGCATTTTTATTAGCCTGGGAGCTGGGTAGATAATGCCTACTAGAAGAGAGACTTTCTTATGACAACCTGTAGCTCATACCTTGTTCAGTTTTGTTTGTTTCTTTGTACTCTCTATATCTGCTGGGGTTAATTAAATAGTTACTTCAGAAATATTTCTTTGCGTTTCTAAGAGGTGCAGTGAGTTAATTACTTCAAATGGGAATTAATGTAATACTCTGTGGGGTGGGCCATTATGAACTTCATGGGCACCCAGTCTGGGTAGAAAGAAGAGAATGAGAGAACAGTGACTAAAAGAAAATGAAGAAAAATCTTCTAAAGTGTTTAACAGTCAGGGAAAATCACAACCAAATGGAATTTTTTATTTCAGTATTCAATCGTACATTACAGAGTCTTCTTTATAAGAGCAGAATATATTTATTGACAGAAAGAAAACTTCTGTCTGAGAGACAGACAGAAGGAATCCTGAGTAGGTTGCCAAAGACTATATTTTCTAGTGATTTTATAGAGCAAAACCACAAGGTGAGGGGGCGGCCAAGGTGGAAAAGAAAGGCAAGTCACAAAGTGGGCGTGAGGTGGGACAAAACTATGGACCAATAAGCTTACGAGTATAATTGCTCAGGTAAAATTCATTAAATCGGGAGCAAATGGGGAAGTAAGTCACATAGCAAGTGAATGTGAATACAGAGCAGGGCCTTTTCCTGTAAAGGTTTGGGTTAATGGCTCCTTATGACTTCCTCAAGGTGGCTCATACCTATCTCAATATCAATCCTTAGGAAATAGGTAGGTGCATTTGCTTTAACTTTTGTCTTGAGTTCTGGCCCACACCAAGAGGTGTCTGTCTTCTCCACACTTGCAAGGAATTTGGTCTTCTGCACTGGCCCCTTCAAGTGCCTAGCCCTATCTGACTGCCTATAATATTTTATGTGACTTAGCTGTCTATAACATTCTGTCCTCCGAAGAAGTACATTGAACTGCCATGAGGGAATAATGGTTGATAGCTGATCTGGTTTCTTCAGGCTGAAGAGGGTTGTAGTTGTTGATTGGAAGTCAGAGTTACTCTATAGAGGGTCCATCTCAGGCCTCAGGAGACACCAGACATTTTTATATTGCGTAGGCATACGGCTTTAAGTCTGGAGGAGACAAAGTCAAAGAAACAATGTAGTATGCATGGGCCAAATAGTAGAATCAACAGGATAATTATGAGTATAGTCAACAAAGATATCCACCAAGAGGAACTAGTAATGGCTTCCCATAAGAAGGATAAGGATAAGGTCCAGGGAATTTTAGTCTGACATCACTGATTTGTCATGTAATATCTTCAACAGCTATTGAGATATTAGCAGAAAGATCAGGACTGTACACACAGCATTCAGGTTTTACAATTGCACAA